GATGTTTATCAATTGTTCTTTTCTGATATATTTTATTTTTAAGCGGTGCTGTTTACAGTTTTAAGCAAAACAAAGGTGACACAAAAATTGTTGCTGCTTGTGCAGAGGGCTGGGATCTCAACTGCCCAGGGCCCTCATTCTTTCCCCTCTCCCAACTCCTGATCTATTGCACTGTCCATCCCCTCCCTCTATGATAGGGACAGCAGAAGATGCCCAGGTACTTAGAAATTCCAGGTGACTCAGGCATGTGGAACCTGGTAGAAAGCGTGTTGTTTTATGGCTTTATTTTATTTTTTGGATCCTGCACCTTCCCTGTTTGTAGACCTTCTGGAAGTACTTGTGTGTTTGTCTTTCTCTCTCTTTTTTCTTCTTATGTTTTGCGCTTTTGTTTTGAAACCAGAGTGCCCATGTTTTGCTATTTGTCACACTGAATTTCTCCAAAGGAGCATTTTTGGGATGGAGACATTCTTCACTCAGTGGGGAGGATAGAGGATTTCAACTATGCCTTGTCTTCTCAAGAAGTTGGGGTAAAACAGATGGCAGTAATGCTTGAACCATCAGGAATTAGCCATCTCATTGAGGAAATCCTTGCATGGGACTTTCTGGGAGTTCAGTTGATTGGGAAATTCACTCAGAAGAGACATCGGGTAACTTCTTGATCCCTCTTGCTTCTTTGGGGGAAATCTCTCCCCTTATCACCATTTCTCCTCCCCTGCCTTGCTCTAGCTCACACATGGATGGTACTCTGAGGAACAGTGACCAACAGGGTAATGGTTTATTGGCCTGATCCCCACTTTTTCATCTTGTAGTCACCTCAAAGAAAGAAGAAGATCTACATAGCATGTATATGTATAAGGGTTGGGCTTACCGGGAGGCAGGGCTTTAATTATTCTTGTTACTATTGGTGCTTATTTTTCCTGCTGTATATGGGGGTGGGGGTGGGGGGCAGAAACCAGGAATGTATATTTAGGTCATGTTAAATAAAATGGCTGGGGGATAGAGTGAAGAAATTGGGAATTTCAGTACATCCCCACCCCAGGTGTAAGAATTCTTTCTCTCCCACTATGGAAAGGGGAGCATGACCCTGGATGTGCCCTAGCTGCCACTTCCCTATTCCTGAGACATCACGGAATTGCCTGGATTGCGACCTTTCCAATCCTAGTTCTCACTCACATCTGGATATCTTGATGCACTTCCTGTTTGTAACAATGTATATGTCTTTTGCTGAATGCCAATAAACTGGGTTCAAGATGGACCCCCAGTCACTAAAGTGCATGCTTGTGGTTTGTTCCACAGCAGTATGACTCTGACCCATAGTTTCTAGGTTTGCCCTTGAAGAGAAATGGAGAAAGCAAGGAGTTAGAGGGAACTCCCAGAAGGAAAAACAGAAGTCAAAGCTGAAACTGAAAGTAAAGGAAACTTCAGTTCTTTATCCAAGCCATGCCCTGCATCTCAGTATGATACTCTGTTGGTAAACTCTCCATCACACTCTCCATACCTGCCAGGGGCTGGCTAGCACTTCTGAAATTAGCTTCAGTCCATGCAAATGTGCTAGACTCCTAACCAGCTAGGAGGTAGAGGTGTGGACCTCCTACTGATGGCTCCATCAAAAGGATGTGTCTAATGGTGAGACTCTCAGGCCAAGCTTCAGGAATGGCATCCTTCACCCAGGCCTAGGGGCAGAGATGAGATGCTGGTCAGGCAGCTGCCTGCCACACCTATTCAATCACTGGGCTGAATGGGAAGCATGCAGCTTCTGCCCAATATTGTAGGGAATGTTATCTGGTAGGCACTAGAGATTTATCATAGCAATAACCCAGTCCCCTTGGGGTCACGTCCAGATTTCTCAGCATGTCCTAACCTAGGCAGGAATCGCTTGCTGTTTTCTATTACCCACACAGAGGACTACCTGTGCCATCAAGTAGGAGAAGGAGATTGTGCTAATGGCTTTGATTTCTCTATTTCAAACTCTTACCCTTCACTCCTGACAAGCAAGGGGGACTGACACCTGCTGGTGGGCTTCCTTTAGTTTTACCCAATTGCCATGTCCAAGCCAGAAAGCCTGAAATAAAAACTGCTTGAAAGTGTTGTAGACAGTGATGCCACAAACACAATTGGAGAACTCCCTGGGGCGCCTTCCCAGATTCAAAAGAAGCTTGGTGTCCCCCAGGACCACATGTGTCAAGCAAAGCCAAAATAAAGCAAATTAGTAGGAAAGAAAAATGAAAACCTCCTGGGAGGGAAGTTGATAATTCATAGAAATTGAATTCTCTGCCCTGGACTGCTCACGAAACAAAGAAGAGAGTCATGTTTGCTCAGGGAGTTTTGGGACTAAAACCTTCTGGGAAAGTCTTATTACGTCCAATGGAAATTCTTAGGGGTGTGGAATCAAGGAGGCCTGGGTTTATGCCTTAATTTTTGTTCCTCATTAATCAACTAGAACTTGCACAAATGTTTTCTCTTTCTGAGTCTCAGTTTCCTCATCAATAACATGTGAGTGGCATGGACATAGATTTGGCTAAACTTATTGCCATGTGCAAGTCAGAAGATTGGGCTACCTCAGAGTGGCCTGTGGAAAGTTTTCAACTACCTAAGTCCAAC